CAACGCCCCATAAAAAAAAAAAAAAAAAAAAAAAAAAAAACCTCTCCAAAAAAAAGAAAAAGAAAAAAAAAATGCATTTTAGAATTTTGAGACACATGTAAAAATATATATTATGAAAATCTGAGATATTTTTAGTAAATTATAAAATAATAAAGATCATTCATAGATAAATTGCCATGCACATTTTTTTAATTCCAGAGGACATATGCTCTTGTCAGAGAGAGAGAGAGAGAGAGAGAGAGAGAGAGAGGGGGAGAAAGAGAAAGCTCCTCTGTAGTAGGGCATGGTAACACTGCAGTCTCTTTCCTCCATCCTATCAAGACTTTGGGCATGCATGCATAATGCATCTGGTATGTTTTTCATACCACCCAGGGTGGGATTCAAACTGTTGTCAGCCATATGAGATCCAGCTCTCAATGCCCAGTGCTTAAAAACACTGTGCTGTGTGATGAGCCGTGCCATGTACATTTTAATGTGCCTTAATATTTTCTGTGCTTATAAAAAGTATATATTTACAGGTACAGATTATGTGGTTTGTACATATTTGCATCCTATCCTCACTAATCATTATTTTGTGTTTATTTTCCCATGCCATTATAAATACAAATGTTGTAGTTACTATATAATATTCTATCACATAGTCATGCCATAATTTATTTCTTTTATGTTGTTTGGATACATAGAGGTTTTTTTTTTTCAATATTTTGAATATTGTAAATTAGCATGCAGTGAATGAAGTTATGTATCCTAGTTTGCATTTTATTTTATTTCATTTATTATTTTTTTAGAGGTTTTTGCCTTAGAGTGCATGTAAGCAAGAAAGAGAAAGAGACAGTGAGAGGGAAAATAAGAAATTACTCCCCAGCGGGCATGGCCATGCCACAATCCTTTCTCCTCCATTCTTCTCCCAGGATCTTGGGCATGCACGCACATTCCCCCGGCATGATTTTCAAGCCACTGGGTCCAGGACTTGAACTGCAGTTGGCCATGTAGGTGTCCAGTGATGTAACTACTATACCATCTGCTGATCCCTCTAGTTTACATTTTAGATTATTGTCTGAGAAGACAATCCTAGAAATGAGATTATTGGGTAATTAATTTTGTTTATTTTCTCCGTGAATATTAACACTTACTAATTCTAAGCCAAAAATTAAAAACAAACAAACAAACAAAAAAACAACTAGTGAAAGCACAAAAAGTAAAATTGCAGATAAGTCTAGAATAAAAGAACATTTTACAAAATAACTGGTCAAATCTCTTTAAGAAGTCAATATTGGGGCCAGTGTAGAGGGTAAGGCACTAGATCCCACATAGCCAACTGTGCGGTTCAAGTCCTGGAGCCTGTGGCTTGAAAATCACTCTGGGCACATGTGCTTTTGTGCCCAAATTTCCAAGAGAGAACAGAGAAAAGGGGATTGTGGTGTGGCCATGCCCTGTGTGTGTGTGAAGGGATGATTTCACACTTTCCTTCTTTCTCAGTTTCTGTCTCTCTGATGAGCATATATGCACTCTAGTAAAAACTTAAAGAAATGAAAAAGAATAATATTGGGGCCAGCAAGTGTTGTGGTGGTTAAGGTGCTAGACTCCCACATGGCTAATCACTGTTTGAGTCCTGGTACAGGCAGCCTGAAAAACACAGAGGACCTGTGCATGTATGCTCCAAATCCCAGGAGAATGGAGAAGGAATTGCAGCATGGCCAGTCCCCTGGGGGATGATTTATCACTTTATCTTTCAGTCTCTCTTTGTCTCTCTCTAAAAAGACCCAGGAGAATGGAGAAGGAATTGCAGCATGGCCAGTCCCCTGGGGGATGATTTATCACTTTATCTTTCAGTCTCTCTTTGTCTCTCTCCAAAAAGAACACATGTGCTATGGCAAAAACCTTAAAAAAAGAAGTGATTATTATTGGGAGTGAATTTGGGGATTAAAGATTTAGCAACCAAATGAAACCAGCAAACCTTGACTAATCCTGTTTATTAAAAATAACTTTTAGAGGTATTTTGAAGATAGTTGAAAAACTTTTGATAAATTGGATATTAGATGATATTAGGGAATTTTAAAAAGTATGACATGGTATTGTAGTAACATGGGTGATACTTGGTAATGTGTTTAGAAATAGAATGTCATGATGTTTGCATTTTATATAAAATAATTTAACAAAAATGAACAAAATGTAGATATACATACACATAAATATAGATAAATATGTAGATAAATCAAAGGTGGCAAATATTAATAATAGATTAGGTAGTAAGGTGATTATTGCATTCTTCTTTTTTCAATTTTACTTTATTTTACTTTATTGTCATTAATTTATTTATTTTGACATTTCAGTATATGAACATTTCTCCCCAGTCCAGTTGATCAAAATATCTTCAACAGATAACACAAACATTTACTTTACATATCAAAAAATTTTAGCTCATACTCTATAGATCTTGACAATTAACAAACAACTTTCAAAATTTCAGAATACTGAATTTTAAAGATAATGTTCAAAATATTTCTTATAATTTTGTATAATTTTGTTTGTGACTCTATAACGACAGAAACAGTATGGTTTTAAATAGTTTTGAGAAAATATTTACATATCAGCTACTCAAATTGTTGAAAAGCAATGCCCAGCACACAAGTTACACATAAATCTTCTCAATTCAGCCCTGCCTACCAAGTATTCTGTGATATAACATCTGCTAACAAAGATCAGTCTCTTTTTCTTCCTTCAAAGTCTTTCTCAAGATAATCCTCTGGTGTGGTTGCTCTTTTGCAATCTCTATTGATTACAGTGCTGGTCTGGAAAAGTTCGGGTTATTTTATGTTATAAATTCTTTCATATATCTTCTCTAATCATCTCTGCCATGCAGAACTATCTATGGTGCCAGGCCTTTTTTCTAAGAGCTTCTGTTGGCTTACTTGAAATCCACCTTAGTTCCTGATTAGATAGTTTTCTGATTTCTGTGATATACCATCAGCTAGCAAAGATCAGTCTCTTTTTCTTCCTTCAATGTCTTTTCTCAAGATAATTCTCTGGTGTTGTTGCTCTTTTGCAATCTCTACTGATTACAATGATGGGCTGGAAAAGTCCAGGTTATTTTATGTTATTAATTCTTTCATGTATCTTCTCTAGTCCTCTCTGCCAGGCAGAATTATTTATGGTGCCAGACCATCTTTCTAAGAGCTCCTGTTGGCTTACTTGAGATCCACCTTAGTTCCATAGATTTCTCATTAATTTTCAGATATGACATTCTATTCAAAGCCCTGTCCAATAATCAATATTTCCAATTTCTGATTCAGTGCAAGAAGCATTATTGAACTTATACAAATAACCCTTCTGCCACAAAATAAGAATACTCCCAAATATTTTCCAATTCCAGAGGGGTCAGAAAGTAAGAAAAGTTTATGTTTCCATTTAAAGAAAAATAAAGAAAAATATTTTAACAAATTGCTGAACCTATCAACAACTCAGAAGAAAGTAAAATGCTTAAATTGGGAAAACAAAACATAGTAAAAGAAATCAGTAATGTTTTACTCAAAAGTCATAAAATTCTATTTCGTCAGTTCAGTCTTATGATCAAACTCTCTTCTGTTGAATATGCAGTATTACTGTGGTCCAATCTTTCCGTTTAAATCCTGGAAGGTAACATTCAATGTTATTATTGATATTTCTTGTCCCTAGCATTCAGTGGGTCATTTTCTTGGTTATCTTTTATTCTCTTATTTCTTTATGTGTCTTTAGTTTTCCTGATAGAGCACTCCTTTCAGAATTTCTTGAAGAGTGCATCTGCTACTGACAAATTCTTTCAGGTCTTGTTTATCTGAGAATGTTTTTTATCTTTTCTTTCCATACGACTTGCCGGGTATAGTATTCTTGGTTGAAACTGTTTTTCACTTAACAGTTTGAATATATTTCCCCATTCTTTCCTTGCTCACATTGCTTCTGATGAGAGGTCTGAGGCTAGCCTGAATAGATAACCTTTATAAGTAACCTGACATTTCTCTCTTGCCAATTTTAGTATCTTGTCTTTGTCTGTAGATTTGGCCAGTCTGGCTATGATGTGCCTTGGAGATCTTTTTGAGTTGATTCTATTAGGGGTCCTTTGTATTTCATGAGTCTGGATATTCAAATGAGTCTCTAGACTTGGAAATTTTTCTTCCAAGATTTCATGGAATAGATTATCAATGCCCTTATTAGTTTCCTCACATTCTGGTATACCAATTATCTGGATGTTTGGGCGCTTAATGCTGTCTATTATTTCTTGTATAGTAGTCTCATTTTGGGGGGATTATTTTCTGTTTTTTTTTTTCATTTTTTTTTCTAGATCAGAGATTTTGCCTTCAATAGTTGACATTCAATTTTCTGCCTGGACTAATCTGCTTTTAATACTTTCAAGAGAGGTTTTGATTTCCTGAATAGCAACCTTCATCTCTAATGGCTTCATTTGATTCTTTTTTATGTTGTGTATTTTCTTTTCAGGTCATGGAAGAACTTCTACATCTCCTGGAACTCATTGTCTCTTTTTTCCTGCATCTTCTGGAATTTGTTATCTCTCAGCTCTTGCATCTCACTTAGTTTTGTCACTATGAATATTCTGAATTCTCTATCAGACATTTCTATGAGTTCTACTGTACTGTCTGTGAATAATGAGAAACTGTTCTTTTCCTTAGGGGAGAGATATTTTCTTGGTTTCTCGTGTTTCTTGTGCCTCTGCAGTGGATTCTGGTAATTCTATGACAAAAGTGTCTCCTCTACTGTGCTTTGCAATGTGGTATGCACAGAAAGAGATTACTAGTTCAGATTTATAAAAAGAAATTTCTTCCTTAAAGCAGAAGGTTCAATAAGCATTGAGGATTTCAATGATTCTAAAAGTATTGAGATGCTTGGCTACTGTGCACAAAGGCCTATCTAGACATTCAGTGTGTGGGGAGTGAGTAAGTAAGGTTAAGAAAATAAAAGCAAAAGATAAAAAACTAGAAAAATACTACCAAAGGAAGAAAAAAAAATTTACACATAAATAATGAAAACAAGCCAGGACACACCTCAGCTTTAAAATGGCTTCTGAAGCTAGTAAATGAAAAGAAAAGGCCCAAGATGAGGAGAAGTGGTTGAAAAATTTTTTAAAAAAATTAAAATTTAAAGAGAGAGAGCATGAGACAGACAGAAAGACAGATGGCCAGAGACAGCGGGAGGACAGGTTTCCCTAAATTGTCTGAATATTTTGGGAGTCTAGAACATGGAGTTTAGAGCATAGCTTCACTGAAAAGGCCAGAACAAACCTCGGCTTTTTTTTTTGGAGAGGTTTTTGCTATAGGGCACATGTGCTCACCAGAAAGACAGAGAGAGACAGAGAGAAAGAAAGCAAGAAATCATTCCCCCCCGCCCAGGGGATTGGCCACACTGCAATCCCTTCTCCTCCATTCTCCTCTTGGGATCTTGTGCATGCATGCACATTCACTCGGTGTGAGTTTAAGCCTCCGGGTCTGGGACTTGAACTATGATTGACTACATGGAAGTCCAGCAACATAGCCATTACACCAACTGCTGGTCCCACACCTCAGCTTTTAAATGACATCTGATATGAACAATTGAAAAGAAAAGGCCCAAGGTGAGAAGAAGTGGTTGAAAATTTTTTTAAAAATTAGAGAATATGAGACAGAGAGACAGATGGCCAGAGAAAGTGAGAGGACAGAAGTTGCCCTACCTTGTGTGAATATTTTGGAAGTCTAGAAGATGGAGTTTAGAGCATAGTTTCCATGAACAGGCCAGGACACACCTCAGCTTTAAAATGGTTTCTGAAATTAACAAGTGAAAAGAAGAGGCCCAAGGTGAGAGGAAGTGGTTAAAAAATTAAGAGGTTTTTGCTAGAGAGCATGTGCGCTTGCCAGAAAGAGTGAGACAGAGAGACAGAAAGTGAGAAATCACTCCCAAGGGGGGATGGCCATTCCATAATCCCTCCTCCTCCATTCTCCTCTTGAGATCTTGGGCGTGCACACACACACGTCCGGTGTGAGTTTAAGCCATTGCGTCCAAGATTTGAACCATGGTCAACTACATGGGAGTCCAGCAACATAGCCATTATGCCAACTGCTGGCCCTATAGATTAAAAATATAAAGAGAGAGAGAGAGAGAACAAGAAAGACATAGGGCCATCTTCTAAAGGCTCTCATCTTGGATCTTTTCTTTTCACTTGCTAATTTCAGAAGTCATTTTAAACCTGAGGTGTGTCCTGGCTTGTTCAGGGAAGCTATGCTCTAAACTCCATATTCTAGATTCCTGAAATATTCAGGCAATGTAAGGAGACCTCTGTATTCCCGCTATCTCTGGCTGTCTCTCTTTCTGTCTTGTGCTCTCTCTCTTTAATTTTTTTTTTTTTTAATTTTCAACTACTTCTTTTCACCTTAGGATTTTTCTTTTTGAAGCCATTTTAAAGCTGAGGTGTGTCCTGGCCTGTCCAGGGAAGCTGTGCTTCTTGTCTGAATAATTTGGGAGTCTAGAAGATGGAGTTTAGGGCATAGCTTTCCTGAACAGGCCAGGCCAGGTCATACCTCAGCTTTAAAATGGCTTCTTGTCTGAATATTTCAGGAGTCTGCATTATTCTTTAAAATTTTCTGTCTATTTGAAAATTTTGAGAGTTAGGAAAAATGAATAAATAAAAAAGGATAAGTTAAAAAACCATCCCATATTGGGGACCAGCAGTTGGCGTAATGGCTATGTCGCTGGACTCCCACGTAGTCGACCGCAGTTCGCGTCCTGGACCCGGTGACTTAAAACTCATGCCGGGCGTGTGTGCATGCGTGCCCAAGATCTGGAGAGGAGAACGGAGGAGAAGGGATTGTGTGGCGTGGCCATCCCCCCTGGGGGGTGATTTCTTGCTTTCTGACTCTGTCTCTCTCCATCTGTCTGGCGAGCGCACGTGCCCTATAGCAAAAACCTCTCCAAAAAAAAAAAAATCCCATATTATGCACTCTTTTTATAAATTGTACTAAAAATACCCTTGCATAGGCTTCTTTGTTCAATTTTATGGTAATTTCTTTAGAATACATATTTAAGATGTAGAATTGCTATGCCAGAGGGTATACATACTAAAAATCTTGGTATCTATGCCCAAATTGTACTTTGGAAGGATTTGCAGTGCCATAAATTTGGCATTCTATCAGGAGCACCTGAAAGGGCCTCTTTCCTTGCAACTTCACTGCAGAGGGGCAGTATTTTTAAACTTTGTTAAAATGACAGTCTTGTCAATAACAACATCAACAAAACAGTGTTGTTTTAACTTAAAATTACTTTTAGTTGTTTTTTAACTTAAGATTATTTTAAATTGAACATTCTTTTCAGTTTTTATTGCGTATGTCACTTTATTTGCAAGCATGAACCTTTTAAAGGCATTTGATAAATTTTATTGACTCTTTCTTCCAAAAGAGTTATTCCTGTTTACACTCACCCTTTTTATAGATGAGTGAGATGGGTAACTGTCATCTGAACCTCTCCTAAACAGCATTTATTATTATATTAATAATTTGTAAAATCTTTGCTAATTTGTAGTTGTATATTACTTGACCATGTCCTGTGTCCATTTAAGAAATTATGCAGCCTTAATGCTTTTCATATATACACAAGCATACATATATAACATATAAGCACTCACATGTACATACATACGTATAGAAAGGAAAAAGTGTTTAACAGTCAGAGCTGCTCAAAGATAAAATGGGCTATAATCGCAGGTAGTAAGTCTCCCATCACTGGAGAGATTTAAGCAGAGGTGCAGAGGTAGGGATATAATAGCAGGTTATGCTTTCAAGTGAAAGGTATTTCAGGTTAAGTCTTTAAAGTTCCTCTTAATTTTGAAGGCCTATGATTTTGAAAAACTGAAACCCAGTAAGTTTAAATTGCCCTGGTTCATGTAGCAAGTACTAGAAGAACCAGAAACCAAACTCTTGTCTTTTGTCTCATAGACCACAGGGTCCTTTCTAATATTCCATATTCCGTGTTGCATATTCCATTCCACAATGCCTGTGTACTTTATGATCTTTATCCTTCTGTTTGGAGCTGTTGATATCTAGACAATATGAGTAATGAGTCCTATGTTTTCTCTGCAGGATCATCCCACCCTGGCTTGGTGGCCAAGCCCTTTGAAAAAGTAACATACCGCTGGACAGTCCCCCCCCATGCAGGTCCCACTGCTCAGGATCCTGCCTGTCTCACCTGGATGTACTTCTCTGCCATGGATCCCATAAGAGATACAAATTCTGGCCTGGTGGGCCCCCTGCTGGTGTGCAAGGCTGGTACCTTGGGTGCAGATGGCAAGCAGGTATTTTCAGGGTTTCTGCCTAGGAAGTCTGCTGGAAGAAGGTTGAAGCTGAATTGCTGGATGAGAGCTAAGCATGGAACTCAGTTTGAGAGGTGAAGGAGTAGGAAAAATAATTGTTTCATCAGAAAGTAATAGTTGGTGTTAACATGCATACTGTTTTTTACTCACAAACATAAACCTTCCTTAGCTTCTCTTCTTTACCATTTCATATCTCCTTATTTATTTTTCTTTTTTTAGAGAGGTTTTTGCTATAGGGAGCGTGCACTCACCAGAAAGACAGAGACAGGGAGACAAAAAGTAAGAAATTACCCCCCAGGGGCACACGCACCTGGCATGAGTTTAAGCTACCAGGTCCAGGACTCGAACTGTGGTCGACTACATGGGAGTCCAGGGACATAGCCATTACGCTGACAGCTCATCCCTCATATCTCCTTATCATCATCTCCTTGATTTTTTCTTTTTTTCCCTCTTACATTAGTGAACTCTGACCTTTGTTCCTAATCCCTAAATCTTCTTTAATATTTGCTTGTTTTCTTTCATATCCAGCCTACCATTTCCAGTTATATAATCTTGGGGAAGTTACTTAACATATGTTTGACTCAATTTCTTCATCTGTAAGAAAAATTATTAACAATGGAAGAAAGTATCTTGAGTTTCTGTGAAGATTAAAATAATCCATAGAAAGTGCTTATAATAACTAAATGTTAGCATTTTCAATAGTAATAATAATCGCTTTTCTCTTACTATCTAATTTCACACTAGAGCCGTCCTCTTTTCATCTAACTACCTTCTCACACTGCTTTCCTCAGGTGATTCCAGGCTTTCTCTTAATGTACTGTACCTCTTCTTCCTAATTCTCATCCTGTATTTCTTTCCTGCCCCCTTTCATACTTTCTTCCATTCCAGTCTTATCCCTTTATTCTGACATTCTCTGATCTGCAATTTGAGGTTACCTAAAGAAACACTTCCTGGCAACAACTATGCCTCTAGATAAGAGGTTTGGGCTTGGCTCTGAGTCTGTAAAGGGAAATAGGAAAGAATCAGTGATCCTTAGATGTGCAGTTACACAGACTACAGTTGCTAAAACCATTGTCATTCTTCCCTCTGATTTCTCTGGGTCTACAGAAAGGAGTGGACAAAGAATTCTTTCTCCTTTTTACTGTGTTGGATGAAAACAAGAGCTGGTACAGCAATGCCAATCAAGCAGCTGCTATGTTGGATTCCCGACTGCTGTCAGAGGATATCGAGGGCTTCCAGGAGTCCAATCGGATGCATGGTATGGGGAGTACTTTTGTTCTGGGCTACAACTGAGAGATTCTAAGTAAACAATAACCCTAACCATAATGATCATTCTCTGAAAATACGGATCCCATTGGTCAGTTCTGTCCCAAGAGACAGAGCTGAAGGATTCAGCCTAAGTTTTCTTATACTTCTTGAGTTGTGTCCTATGCCATGCAGTGTGGAGGACACTGGGAGAAAGTACTATGCTGAGAATTATGAATAAGGGATCTAATAGTGTGAAGAATAATCTGGAGTAATACCTTTGCCAGCTTTATCTCCCTTTCTCTTATCCCCCACTACCCTTGTTCTGCTATTCTCTACTCCTGGCAAGTGTGGTTATTTTTGCTCCATGAACATATATTGCACTTTGCTGATTTCATGCTTTCTCAATGCTGTCTTCCTCTTAAAATGCCCCTCCTTATATCTTTGTCTTCAGCCTGTAGAAATTCTGTCTAGTCTCTAAGACTACTCTAAAGCTACCTTCTCCAAGTAACCATTTCTTATCACCCAAGCCCAAGGTGATGACATCCTCCTCTGAACTAGCACTGCATTTCAATCAGACCACTTTAATAGCAAATTTCATACACTTAATATTGTAGTTATTTGTTATATGGCTTTTGACTTCTGCTAGAGTGTAGCCTCTTTAAAGCTGAATATTATATGAATATAATATACTGCTTATCTCTGTATCTTCTATACACCATATAATGCATAGTAAATATGTATTGGAATAGTGAACTACCAAATGAATGAGTAAATGGGTGGGTGAATGAAAGAGAAGACGTGATCCCATTTTGCAAGAATATTTCAGTACTTTGAAATTAGACTAATAATATGCATGAAACAATTCAAGAACAATCCAAGACAACCTATAATTAAGTGCTTAATTGGGTAGAATAGCTTTTCAGTGACATAAGAGTTAAGAGGAGGAGAACATTAATGAGGGACAATTGAATTATGAGATTCCAAAAAAGAATGAAATTCTTCAGCTAGAGACTGAATGTGTTTTCAATCAGGAAGAAAGAGGCAGGAGAAGCAGAATCAGTGGATTAGCAATTTTCCCATCAGTATTTCAGGGCATAATCAAGCAGGGTGACTCATTAGAAATCATTCCAATGGATCTGTGGAGATACTAAAAAGGGGTCAGATTCAACAAATATCCCTGTATGGTGGTGGGGGTGGGATAGAGTATGGAGGAGGGGTATAAGAATGAGTGTATTCTTTTCACTCTCTCTTGGTTCCCAACACTAGTTATTGTCATCATCTGTAAAAAGTAAGATAATCCCATGAACTAAATTCATTCCACATTGACTTTATTGAGCACCTAATTGGTAACAGGCAATGTGCCAAGTGCTCAGGAAGTCACATACATACAGAAAAAATAATATTCTTTCAGCTAGGCCAGTTGTCAGCCTAGTTCAAGAGATACATTTGTAAGTAAGTCATTGGACTTTGTGGTGAGACATATTGCAGAATTTTTCAGGGTTAAAGGTTCATGGAAATGAGAAGAAGAGTGCTAATAGTAACTCTGCTTCACAGATAAGGATATTTGAGCTGAGGTATGGTGGATGAGTTGCCATAGAGAGAGATTTGATATAAAGTTTATTCCAGGCAGAGGGAACAGCATGTGAAAAATCAACAGGTGTTTTCGAAGCACCTACTATGTCTAAAGGCCTTGGGATACAAACAGAGCTTACAGGATAATGGTGTGTGTGTGTGTGTGTGAGAGAGAGAGAGAGAGAGAGAGAGAGAGAGAGAGAAATGGTGAAAGGAGTGATTGCAGGTAGCAGTTTCAGGAAGGAGGCAGTTGCATTTCAGATTATAGAGTTTGAGGCCAGAACACCAAGGCAGTGGCAGTGAAATGAAGAGGAGACAGATTGATAACAGAAGAGAATCCTAATATTTTATGGAGGGTGTCGAATGAGAACAAGATGGGGACCAGCAGTTAGCGTAATGGCTATGTTGCTGGACTCCCATGTAGTCGACCGTGGTTCAAGTCCTGGACCTGGCGGCTTAAACTCATGCCTGGTGCGTGTGCGTGCATGCCCAAGATCCCAAGAGGAGAATGGAGGAGAAGGGATTGTGGCGTGGTCATCCTCCCTGGGGGGTGATTTCTCGCTTTCTATCTCCCTGTCTCTCTCTGTCTTTCTGGCGAGCGCACGCGCCCTATAGTGAAAAACCTCTCCAAAAGAAAAAAAAAATGAGAACAATATGGAGACAGAACAATCAAGAGAGGTTGTAAGAGAACCAGAAAGTGTAGTGCCACAGAAACCAAGGAAGAAATTTCAAGAAGGTGTGTGTGTGTGTGTGTGTGTGTGTGTGAAGATATGGTAGTTGAGAGTTCATTATTTTGATATTATCAAAATGTCATCAGATGTAGTGGAAGAGTGGTAGGAGATAAGGCCAAAAAGGGAAGTTGGACCTTCATCCCAAGGATATAGATCTTCATGAACACAACCAGAGTAGCTTGGAGAAGGCAGTGGAGTTGTGAATGACTTAATCATTTCAGGTTGTGGGAAACCATAGTTTAGAACTATGTCATGCTACTGGCTAGTATCCAAGTAGTCTGATCTCATATCCCCATCTTGTCTTGTGTTTTTGTTTTCCAGCCATTAATGGGTTTCTGTTCTCTAACCTGCCCAGGCTAGACATGTGCAAGGGTGATATAGTGGCCTGGCACCTGCTTGGCCTGGGCACAGAGACTGACGTGCATGGGGTCATGTTTGAAGGCAACACCGTGCAGCTTCAGGACATGAGGAAGGGTGCAGCCATGCTCTTTCCTCACACCTTTATCATGGCCATCATGCAGCCGGATAACACTGGTAAGTGCCTTATCAGTTGGCTCTAAGATTAGAGGCTTTGTTGAGTATGAGACTAGGGGTAAGTGAGGAGGAGAAAGGGCTGATGAAGAAATAAGCATGTTGAAGCTGCTGGGGATGTTTTCAAAATACTTTCATCTTCCTGTTCAATGTACTCTCCATATTTTGGTTCTTTGAATTCTATCCTCAGCTGCAAACAGAATAGAGTGAGTAGAAGGCTGAGGACCCTTCTTTCTGGAACAACAGGAGAGAAGCCAGGATGCCGCTCAGCTTCCGGGTAGTTCTTATATGGAAGAGACTTGACCACATAGCCCACTGAACACTTAAAGATTTTATAGCCATAGTCCTTGCATTAGGAAAAGGTCAATGAAATGACTTTTACGTGCTTTCGACTCTGATACTCTGGGAATTCTTCTGCAAACTTTTCTACTTCTGGAATATGTGTGGAAGTTACTCTTAACACTTTCAGCTCAGGAATCAGATCAAAGGAGCTCTAGCCCAGACTCTTTCATTAACTTGCCCTGTAACTTTGGTCTAATTACTTACCCTCTCTGTGGTTATATTTCTTCTTTCTTTATTCTCTCCCCTCTTCTTTTTTCTTTTCTTTTTTTTTTTTTTTTTTTTTGGGGGTATTTTTCCTTATGGGGGTTGGTGTCCCAGAGGGAGACATAGAGACAGAAAGCAAGAAATCACCCCCCAGGGGGGATGGTCACGCCTCGATCCCTTCTCCTCCATTCTCCTCTCGGGATCTTGGGCATGCACGCACACGCGCCCGGAGTGAGTTTTAAGCCACTGGGTCTGGGACGCGAACCGCAGTCGACTACGTGGGAGTCCAGCGACATAGCCATTACGCTAACTTCTGGTTCCCTCTTCTTTTTTATTTTGTAAGTAAATTTGACTTGAATGTTCTTCAGATTCCATGCATTTCTGACATTTCATCACTCAGCAGTATTTTTACTTGTCTCTAGGGTGTATTCTTTGTCCAGCCAGTAGGTGGCAATGGTGTTTGTATGAAAGGCTGTCCCTAGAGTTCCTAGTAGTATTTTAGTTCTGTAAGTTTCATTCATATTTGGAAAAACTGTCCTTAAAACAAGTATCCTTTGAAAATTTAATAATTTAATACTAACACTGGGTTTGGCAAACACTTTATGTAAAGCTGGTCTCTTTAGACTTCTTGGATCCACATTTCTGCCCATCTTCATGGGTTACTTTCTTGGTCAGGGAGAGTTGTAAGAAAATTAGAAGTATTGGTTAATGGATCTGAAAGGGACAAGATAAACAACTACTTGCCTTAGCCTGATAGCCAAGTTGCAATTTTAATTTCCTTCCTGCAAAACCAGTCATGTTCTTCAGGCAAGTCTGTGTTCCTGCCCAGGTTCACCCTTACTTTGGATGAATTATTTTTGTGCCACACAAAGGCCCACGAAACGGGGCTGTAGATAACTTAAAAAACATTTTAGGGCCAGCCCTGTGGTAGAGTGATTGCAGAACTGGATATCCTACATTGTTTGACTGAGGTTTGAGTCCTGACCCTGGTGGATTGAGGACCATGCCTAGAGTGTGTGTGTGTGTATATGCATGTGCATGCATGCACAAAGTTATGACAGAATAGAGAAATGAAGGAGAAAGGCTTGTGGCATGACCATGCCCCATTTAAAAGAGTAAAGGCTTGAAAGGTTACTTTTGAGAAAGATTTCTGAAAACATTTTTTTTTTTAGTTTTTCCATGAGGTGTGTGTGCTCTCTCACAGAGAGAGATGGAGAGAGAGAGAGAGAGAGATCACCACCCCTCAGGGGAGATGCCATGCAGCAATCTCTTCTCTTCCATTCTCTTGAGATTTTGGGCATGTATACACACATGCCTAGCATGATTTTCAAGATACCAGGTCCAGGACTCAGGCTGTGGAGTCAGTCATATACATTTAGAGCTTTAAATTCCATGCCACCTACTAGCCCAGATTTCTCTTTCTTTTTTTTTTAACTAGTAAAAGCACAAACCATTTTTAAAATTATAATTTATAATTTTCATATAATAGTTGTATATATTTATGAGATACCATGTTGTTTTTCTAAACATGTATACTCATAATGTGTAATGATCATATCAAGGTGATTGATAAACATATGCATTATATTCAATATTTACCATTACTTTGTTATTACATTTATTATACACACTCTTCTACTTTTTTTAAATTTAAGTTTATCCATTCATTTATTTAGTGAGTGAACAAGTATGTGTTTGAGATTGGGAAGAGGGAGGGAGAGGAAGACAGCATTCTACAAAAGGGTCTTTTTAAAAAATAATTATTTATTTAATTTCATTTATTATTATTATTTAAATTTGCTATATGGCATGTGTGCTTACCAGAGAGAGAGCAAGAGATAGAGAAAGAGAAAGTGAGAAAGCAAGTCACCAGGTCCAAGACTTGAACCGTGGTCAATGTGGGAGTCCAGCACCTTAACCACCATGCCACGTGTTGCCCTCCCCAACAGTGTCCTGACGCCATAATCTACCCCCAGGCTTCAGCTAGCCCAGATCATGAGCAAGTGCATGCCAAGTGTATTCAGAGAGGTCTCTGGACTTAGCTGGGACCCTTCTTATGTGGGATTGACTTGGTGTGTTGCGTTTTACTTCCATGTCACTGTCTGGTCCTTCTTTTAGTTTATTTTCAAATGTGTATTGAACTGTCATGAACTATCTTTACTAGTTTTCTATAATCTATTCACTTACTTACTGTTAATGAAGTATTGCCCAATCCTTCTCCAAGCTTCTAGCACTTCTTTATTCTACTTCTATACTATTTCTTTCTCCCCCTCCCCCCCAAAAAAGAGGTGATTAACTCTATTAAAAGATGGGAAAATGAACTGAACAAAAATCTCTCTAAGGAAGACATACAAACAGCCAGAAAGCATTTGAGGTAATGCTCAAAATCTCTCATCATAAAGGAGATGCATATTAAAACCACAATGAGGTACCACCTAATCCCTGTCAGAATGGTGGACATTAAAAATACAAAAAAATGGGACCAGCAGTTAGTGTAATGGCTATGTCGCTGGACTCCCACGTAGTCGACCACAGTTCGCATCCTGGACCGGGTGGCTTAAAACTCACGCCGGGCACGTGTGCGTGCATTCCCAAGATCCTGAGAGGAGAATGGAGGAGAAGGGATTGTGGTGTGGCCATCCCCCCGGGGGGTGATTTCTCGCTTTCTGTCTCTCTGTCTCTCTCTCTCTGTCTGGTAAGTGCATGCGCCCTATAGCAAAAACCTCTCCAAAAAAAAAAAATGATGATAAGTGTTGGCGGGGTTGTGGTGAAAAGGGGAACTCTCCTACACTGTTGATGGGAATGTATTTTGGTCCAGCCACTGTGTAAAACAATATAGAGGTTTCTCAAAGACCTGCAAATAAAACTACCATTAGATCCAGCAATCCCACTTCTGGGTATCTACCCAAAGGACAGGAGAATGCTCAGTTGGAAAAGTGCTTGCACATCTATGTTTATTGTGGCCTTATTCCCATTTACTAGGATATGGAACCAACCCAAATGTCCATGAACAGATGAATTGATGGAAGGAAGTGTGACACATATACTCTATGGAATACTATTCAACCATAAAAACAAACAAAAAATACCCTGTCATTTGATAGAAAGATTTATTGCTGAGTAAAGCAAGCCAGGCTATGATAGCAAGTTTTACATCTCCATTTGTTTTATACCAACTATCCTTACTCTATGGTAGAGATTGAAATGTTAGATGGCATAAAAGCAGTGAAAATAGTTATGGACACTGAAGATAGTGTGGAATGGGCGGGGCGGCAAAAAATAGGGTATAGATAAAGCAGGAGAAAAAATAGACATGACATTTGTGGGACACTGAAATGGATTATCGCCTGTTGATGATAACATGTATAGTATTCTCAAGTGGAGTAGTCTGAGGTGTATTTCATGTTGAGTAAATTCTCTTTACAAGCCAAATGATGTATAGCTATAAAATGTTGAAAAAATAAGAAGAATTCAAAATAGAATCTGGAAAAAATGAAAAGCCATTTGCTACTGATGATGTGGATAGTAATGTCTTTGTCTTGACCGACATGCATGAATACAGTGCACATTAATCAAGTCAAAAAACATACTATGTATATATTATCAGCAGCAGATAACTTTTCATTTTTGTGTCTATTAAATGTGATGTTTACTTTTTTCAGATCCCTTTTGTTTTGTTTCAGTATTTATTAGTAGAAATAGATCTTCAACGCATACTTCGTGTTTATAGAAATTCTACATTCTCTTAAGGGTTTTTTTCATTTTACCTGGAAGTATTTTGGGGCATCAAAGTTAACTGAATATATTATCTATGCATTTGATTCTTTACAGACATTTTTAGACTTTACAACTAATTTGAGAAACCATGCATATTGTATGCCTTACTTAATAACCCAAAAGAATTTGCATTTTCAATAAAGTTACAAAAAACTGAACTCAAGTTTAATAACCTACATGTTCTAAATTTCCCATGTTCCGTTTCTTAATATAAATAAACATTTGTTCAGTATTATATATTGCTTGCTGTCTAATAAGTCAGATTGTCAGAGATGCTTCAGTACATTATTTTTAAATTATATCTTTAGTCACTTTTTTTTCAGAGATGATTAAACAGTGTGCCATATACAAAATTAGCCAAAAAGCATAATTAAGAACCAAACATGTAGTTTTTACACTAAACAACGTAAACTTAAAATTATATATACCTACATACACACATGGTATGCTGAATATTAAATTTAACATTTCAAGTGGCTTAAATAAATTTAGCAGACATTCAGCAAAACACTCTCTCATAAGAATATTATTTTCCTTAGAATAAAAAGTTAATGAAAGGCTTATTTATTTTTGAGAGGTTTTTGCTGTAGGGCGTGTGCACTCGCCAGACAGACAGAGAGAGACAGAGAGATAGAAAACGAGAAATCACCCTCCAGGAGGGATGGCCATGCCGCAATCCC